TCTCCAAACTTTAGATGAGGAAACAGGCTCAGAGATGTTAGGGAACTTTCACAAGGCCACACAGCCAGGCAGAGATAGAGTTAAGGTTTGAACCCAGGTCTATCACTGCCAAAGCTCATCTCATCATCCATCAGCAGCTCTCACGATGGTGACCCCTGGACCTGCCCAGACAGGGGTTCAGTGAAAGGAGGGACACGGTGAAGCGGCTGTGCCTGAGGAAGAGTCTGGAATTCCAACTGGGAGGCTCCACTTCCCAACAACTTTTTTTTTCTTTTTTTAAAATTTATTTATTTATTTTTGGCTGCGTTGGGTCTTCGTTGCTGTGCGTGGGCTTTCTGTAGTTGTGGTGAGCGGGGGCTACTCTTCATTGCGGTGCGTGGGTTTTTTACTGCAGTGGCTTCTCTTGTTGCGGAGCACGGGCTCTAGGCATGCGGGCTTCAGTAGTTGTGGCACGCAGGCTCCAGTAGTTGTGGCGCACGGGCTTAGTTTCTCCGCGGCATGTGGGATCTTCCCGGACCAGGGCTCGAACCCATGTCCCCTGCATTGGCAGGGGGATTCTTAACCACTGCGCCACCAGGGAAGCCCCCCAACAACTTTTCCAGAGAGAAGGCTGGTGTCCTCTGGCCCAGGCAGTGGTCGGGTGGGGTGGGGAGAGGAGTGTGGATGACATCCAAACCCACTCTTTTGCCCGTGGTGATGGCACAGGGCCCTCCCCACCCACGGACGTCCCGGCACTTGATGCAGTGCAGGAAGGGCCCAGCCAGACAGTGGGCGCGCCAGGACCTCCCACGGAGGTGAGAGGGCACTCGGAGCAGTGCCATCAGGCCAGGGGCTCCCTCCCGCATCTGAGATTACTGTTTGAAGATACGAAGAAGAAAACCACAAAGGCTTGGTTGATGGGGGTCATGAGGCCAGACGAAATGGAATAGAACTGCCAGCTGCCAGCGCAGGAAGGAAACTTCCAGAGGAGCTGGGTCAGTGTTCAGAGCGAGGGGTGTGACTCATTAGTGGGCCATACAATCAGCCAGGGAGCCGTCACCAGCAGTTCTGAATGACGCAAAACAGACAACACCAGAGTAGAGACGTGTAATGAAGTGTTGCTCTATTAAGCTTTAGTTTTAGTTAAATGTGTGGAAACTTTTTTTTTCTTAACCATGAACTGTGGTCAAAACAGCTACAAAAAATTAAATTGGTGCAACCCCTGTATTCTGCAGATGGGAAAACTGGGGCCAAGTGCAGAAGGGCTTGGCCCGGGGCCCAGAGACAGGATGCCAGGACACTACTGCCCCAGCACCCAGGGGCCACCTTTCAGAGGCCCAACTTCTTACTCACCTTTTAACCTTAGACACAACCAGCCTTGCCAACTGTTACCCCCTGTTGCTCCCAGGCGAGAGTGGGAAGAATACAGTGCTCTGTATTGGGGTGGGGGGCAATGGGGTGTCGTGAAAGAACTTTCTCCTTCCTCTCTGGCTCTCTCCCCGCCTCCTTTCCCTCCTCCCAAGCCCCCCTCCATGGGAACACCCCAGAATCAGGTCCCTTTCCACACTCCCTCCCACTGGCCCCCCAATGGCCCCGTACAGCCGCCTCCCGAGTCTCTCTTGGCCAGGCTGGGGCCTCTCTCCCCCAAGGCCTTGTCCGAGACCTGTCTACACAGAAGTCACGCCACCTCCATCACAGTGAGATCCGCCCCCAAGCCCGCAGGTTGGAGGAGGCTCCTCCCCGTCTACATTATTTGATGATGCCAGTTACCCAGACCGAGACGGGTCTACACTGTCATGCTCAATTCTCGCAACAACCCAGTCTTATTGGCAGACAAACTCAGGCCAAGAAATTTGCCAAAGGCCACACAGCAGTAAGCGGAGGAGCTGGCTCTAGAACCAGGTCTACACGGCACCAAAACTGACACCTGGACACTCCCCTGCCCGGCCAATTCCCGGCAGCCGTTCCTCCAAAGGATCCTGGATGGGGCAGGATGACCGTGTCGGGGAGGGGGGAGTGTCTCTTACCTTAGCTGCAACCAGGAAAGGAACTTTCCAGCCCGGGGGGGTGGGGCAAGAATACTGGAAATGTTCTCCCAAGCCTCCTGAGTCCCTCCTCCAGGAGGGGAGGACAGACTTCTCTGACAGGGGAGCTTGGAGAAGGCAGTGGCCTGGGGGAACGGCGAATCCCTTTCCTGCCCACTTGCAGATGTGCCCGCCCACAGACAGGGAGTGTGCTGCTCGGCTCCTGTGTCCCCCGCCTGGGAGGGAGGGACACCGGGAAGGGCCAGCGTCCACCTGCTGGAAGCAGGCCTGGAGGCCCACCTCCTTGGCTCTCCACACGCTGGCGCGGCGGGGCTGGCAGCGACTCTCCAAGCAGCTGGCGGGGACAGGGCCTGCTGTGCTGTTTCCTTGAATAGGGTGCCTCAGGGCCCAGACTTGGTGAGGGAGTATCAAGAGTCTGACCATGGTCATGGATAGAAGCCAAGGTCTCCCATCCAGCTCTGTCAGACATGTTGACCTCATAGCTGAGCCCTGTGTCTGTTTTTCTTTTGCTTCAGGACTCGTGGCAAGAAGGGTTGTTACCAGCACCAGGAAACACAACATCTTTTCTCCTCACTGCTCCCAGAGTGCCTAGCAGGCCACACACGCAGATCCCTCTGCCTGAGCTCCCGTCCAGGTCTCGCACACGTCTCCCCACCTCGAGTCCCATCCCCTCGCTCCCTCCTGGTAAGTACATTTTCCTAAAAGTCTCAGCCCTCGGAGGCTCCCCACCATCAGAGCCTTTGGCCTGGGGCGGCTCCCAGGTCTGATCTGGGCCCATCTTCTCTCACTGTCTCTCCTCCAGCTCAGCACTCCCTACACAAGCCCTGGACACAAGCCACCTAGGCTCCACTGCTCATGAGCCTTCAGGCTATTACTTCAGGGTCCTCCTTCCCATTCTCCAAGTGCCTCCTCCGCCATGCAGCGTTCCATGACCACTACCCCAAATTACGTCCCATATTCCTCCAACACGTGTGGCACTCACTGTCAGGACCCCTTGTTCCACATTCACCTTGTTATTGAGGTTCTTCAAGTATGTGTCTTGTTTTCTCAACAAACGACACACTATGAGACAACAGTTCTAACACTGGCTAAGATGTACTGAGTGCTTGCTTACTCTAGGCCAGGCACAGCCTCTCCTTCAAGGAGAGAAGCTTTCTAGAGCACTGGCCTGGCACGTTATTGCTGCTCAAAGCATGGCACGATTTTCTCAAATATACACAAACACTGGTGGTAGGAGAAGCTGGGGCAACGTTTCTGGAAAGTCATTCACATGATGTATTCAAGGCCTTAAAAATACGTATAGCCTTCCGAATCTGGGCCAGGACCCCACTTTCAGGAATGTATTCTAAGAAACAATCATACACGTGCACAAAGGTTTAGCCACAGAACGGCTGCAAAAGTGGAGGGGTGGTGCTTCAGTTTCATCAATTGTAAAGTGGGAATAAAAATAATGCCTAGCCCACGGCCTGTTATGTGGATTCATAAATCATGAGTCAATGTATGTAAAGCACTTAACACAGTGCCTGGCACAATATTCAGGCTCTATAAAAATGTTACTTATCTCTTGTTATTTGAATTGAGGTCTGATTGAGGCCAAATCCTGGACTCCTAGCTACACTGCAGCCCCACCATCCACTCTCATGATTTCCAAAATCAGCAGAATTGTTACAAATAGCAAAAGCAACTCCAACCTGAACAATGCTTGAATTATCCAACACAACGGACTGGGTACATAATGATACAACTATATACCATTCTATGCTGCCACTTCTTAAGGAACAACAATTAATGTCATGCATCAATTTAAAAAATAAGTAGCAAAAGGCTACAAGTTGATGAGTTCAGTATGAAGTTGCTTTCGTTTTTTTTTTTTTTTTTTTTTTGAAGTATACAAACGTGTAGAGAAGAAATCCACTGCAGAATGTGAAGAGCTGTCATCTCCGGTGTAAAGCTATAAATGATTTTCCTTTTATCTTTCTTTTAAATTTCTTACCAAGAACACGTATCCCTTTTGTAGTTAGGAATAAAAACTAATGTTGAAGAAGAAAATGAAAACCATGCTGGTTTACTTCTATCTGTAATAGGAGGGATCGTGTCTCCCTTTTATATGTTCCACACTGCATCTAACACACAATTTCTGGACATAAAAGCCCTGGTCTTGAACAGAATTCCTGATTCAACACTGCCTGGCAATCCTGTTTACTCTTCCAGGCCAAGGCATCCTGTACAGAATCTAGAAATGGCCTGCAAGGACAAGAAAACAATGGCGGGGGTGTGTCACACTGGTCTGTGACCCGCTTGCCAGGCTGGGGAACATCATGAACTGACCCGAGGGGGAAGAGGCGGTGGAGCCCGGCCAGGGCTGGTGCATTAGGAGACCAATTACCTGGGGAGCATGTGGCGAGGCCGCTAAGAGCTACCGGGCCTCGATGCAAGGCCGCTTTGACATCTGGGAGCTCTCTTCAGTGCGCTGTAAAGAGCTTCCCAGGAGACGCTTAAGTGCAGGTGGATCTTAATATGATCAGCCTCCTTGTGCACAATTTCCATATTGCTCTTCCTCCCACAGCCACTGGGCCTCCCCTCGCTGCCCACAACAGAGGTGCAGGCACCCAGGGAGCCGGGCAAGGGGAAGGGTAGGGTCACAGGGCCATCTGTCAGTCACAGCTGCACTGCCCACCCAGCAGAGGGGTTAGGGTTGGGGCTAGCAGGGCATGTGGAATGTTCTACTTAAAACGATTACAGGGCTTCCCTGGTGGTGAAGTGGTTGAGAGTCTGCCTGCCCATGCAGGGGACGCGGGTTCGTGCCCCGGTCCGGGAAGATCCCACATGCCGCGGAGCGGCTGGGCCCGTGAGCCATGGCCGCTGAGCCTGCGCGTCCGGAGCCTGTGCTCCACAACGGGAGAGGCCACAACAGTGAGAGGCCCGTGTACCACAAAAAAAAAAACAACAACAAAAAAAAACACGATTACATTGCTAGGCACATTAGCATCAGGCATGTCACATTCATGAGCTCGACCCTCACAAGACCTCAGAGAGGTGGCTGCCTCTGTGTCCACTTCACAGCTGAGGAGACTGAGGTTTGGGGGCTGACAGACGGGTCCAAGGTGACTCAGCTAGGAAGGACAGAGTGGGACTCAAGGCCAGGTCTGCCTGGCTCAGGTTGAGGCTAGACCCACGGGGGCTCTGCAGTAAGTCTGCCAGATGTGGAGCCTGGGACAGAGGGGGTGTGTCAAAGCTCTTTCCTAAGTCCACCCTTGCAGGCAGCACTGTGACAGTAAAGGGGGCCTGACCAGTCTTGCCTGAAGTTGTCCAGCTAAGTCCCCCAAGCAGCTGGTGCAGAGCTTGGCCTGCTCTATGTTCGGCAGGAAGATGCTCCCTCGAGCTGCGCCAGGGATCCTGGCCACGTGCCGAGCCACCTGGCCAGGACGGCATGGAGATCGCCAACACCAGTCCCTGGAGGGCTGCCCCAACAGGCACTGCGACCTTCCGGGGCTGTCTGTGCCCATGTTCCCTCTTGTCACCAGGGTCTGCCTTCAGCTGGGGATCTCAGAAGAGGTCACGGAACCTCAGAGCGGTGGAAAGAACACTGGCCTAGGCACTTGCTGTGGCTCTACACGCTGCTTCTGCCGGCATGGCCCTGGGTGGCCCTCAGAAGAGCATCTGTCCAACGGGGAGAGTAGCTCCTAGCCTACACTCTCACAGGACTTGTGGAGACAAAGAGCAAGGCAGGGGGAGAGTCCGCCAGCTCTCCTCTCTGGCTCCCCTCTCCGAGCCCAGGGCGGGAGGCCCTCCAGGGGGCCGACTGGGGGGTGAGCGGGAAGCCACACACTCAGACGTCCTCCCCAGATTTTTGCCTCTAGGCTAACTGTCCTCCTTTCCCCTTCACACGGGGTGAATAGAGGCTCACAGCTAACATCAGAGACAGGGTTCAGGGAAGAAATTAGTGGCTAATCCCTTGATATATTTTTCAGAGAAAACATTCCAGAAAAGTTTTCTCTAACCAACAGGGGCATGGGGGAGACACTTCTGCGGGGCCCTCCTCTCCTGGACTCTCCTGAGTCCCGGCCGGGTGGGCAGCAGCCTGAATACCCCAGGCCCAAGTCTGGGAGGCCCTCACGGCATCCTTCATCCACCCATCCCACAAACTTTCTTTAGGCAGGGAGGACACAGCCCGCAACCCAGAATCACTTTTTGGAGGGTATGGATTCCCTTCCTAGATGGTCCCATCCTCATGCAGACAAGGGTGGGGGCAGGGAGGGACCTGGTGGCAGAGGCTCCGACTCAGTCCTCAGAGCGACAGAGCGGCCCGGGGGAGGGCCTCCCCGCTGCAGCCTCCTGGGAAGGCGAGGCTGCCGTCCTGTCTCCGCGGCTAATGCTGCCCTGCAGGCTCGCGCTCGCCTTCTCGGGGGCGTCTGGAGCATCACAGGCGCTGCGCGGCAGGCGCTGGCCACAGCGCTCGCCCACACCCTTCCTGCAGTGGGCGGCTAACTGCAACATGATCACGCAGCCCTCGAGAGCCCCACGCCTGGCCCACCACTTCCTCCTGCTTCCCGCCCCCTGGGGAGAAGCTTCCAGGCTCCCAGGCAAGGACCCGAGGTTTTGCTGGCTGCTAAAGGGGATGAGAAAAGCACAGCCCCTCCAGCCCCAGGAGACTCAGGCTGCCGCTTCCCCCATCCCCCCTACGCCAGGGCCTGGGGAGGCCCAGAGATCGCACTAAATGCCTGCAGACAAGTAACCACGCAGGAGCCTGCCCACCAGGGACACCCAGTCTCAGGATCTAATCTATCCTCTAGGTACCTCAGTTTCCTCAGCTGTTTAAAAAACCAACCAACCGCCTCATAGGGTTGCTTTTAAGAATAAGTCAGATTATGTACGTAACAGGTCCAGTAAATACTCTACACTTCCTCCTGGCTTTCACCTTTCCTTCCCTTTTAGAAACCTAGACTTTGTGTCCAGAGTTAAAAGCTAGTGGGGTCAGAGGCCAGGATCCTGCCTGAGCATGTCCACACTCGTGGAGGCCACATGAGAATAGGGACTGTCCCTGGTGTCCAGGGAGCGTGACATCACCATTACATGGAGGGGAAGTGATAGCATTCAAATAACTGTAATGATAACAGTGTCACACATGCCTTGGTCATCTCCAAGTTGGCTCATCTGAGAAAACGATCTTTTGGGTAACGTTAGCTACAAAAATACTACCTAATTTATCCTGTTTTCCTACGCGCCCAGCTGAAAGCCCAGCCCAGCATGGGGCTCTGGTCACAGGCTGGGGAAGGCTTTTCTGATTTATCACAGCAGTACTAAGCCAGCTAGAAAAGGCACCATTAGCCTGTGTTCCACCCTCATTAGTAAACATCAAAATAATTTCCCTGCTGACCCCGAGACACAGGAGTCATCATATCTAAGAATGGATTCCAGCAGCACAAAACTGACAGGGGTCTCATACTGGGGTTCCTTGCAAAGGGAAGCTGGGAGGGGGTAAAGAGACAGTTGTAAACTAAATCCCTCTGAGGAGAGCGTGTGGGTGGAACCACATATATGTAAAGATTTAAACAAACAGAATGCATCACTATGGAAACATTCGGCTTTTTCAAAGGCATGGTTAAGAACATAAAGCAATCAAGACTTCAGATTCAACACTACAAGTGTTTATGACCAGAAAAGGCAAAGTGGGTCTTAGATATTCTGCAGCCAAGTGAAAGCTGCCAGAACTCAAGGAAGAACTATTCCCAGCAGGGCAGGGACCCACGTGTCAGGGCTTCCTCTGAAGCCGCCCAGCTGGAGCGCTCTGCTCACTGCAGTGCCCACTGAGCTCTTCTGGGGTTGCCATGACACAATTCAGGAGACGGTGCCACTTACTGACCAGGTCCCGACAGACCTGCCACTCGCGAGGGCAGGTCATACCAGCCATGGAGGCAGCAGGGAGGGAGTGTCACAGCAAAATGGCAGGTTTATGAGCTGTGACCCATTTATTAGGAATCATCGATGCCACGTGAGTTAGTGGTTAGCTGTAGACTGAGGATACAAGCTGATGTTGTGTCAGACTGCTCCGACCCATGCTTCGAGGCAAGGTGCCTGCTGTCAACATGTTGTCAGTGTGCAGAGCTTACCCTGTTTCTCGGGCTGTCTGCTGGTCGGAGTCGTGGTGTTGGTAAGCATCGTGAGCAAGCCTGACGCTGAGTCTGGGCATCTGGGTCCCCAAATGTACTCACAGACAAGAGTGAAGGGAGGAAGGGACCACCTGTCTACCTCTGAAAGTTGGCTTTGATATGGTCAGGAAACATGCTCTCAGTCACTTGCCAGGAAGGTTAGAGGAGAATTTGTCTAATTTGTCATAATTTGGACTGTGTCTCCCCAAAATGAGCTTCCCCCAGTAAACTGGACAGTTCTAGTCCAGTTGGCAGCAGAGTTTCTGACTAGGAGATGCTCATGTTGATTAAGGAGAGATGAGGTGCAGATACCTGCACTGGTTCACAGGAAAGCCAGGGGACAAACAGAGTGGCCTGGCAGTCATCCTGGCCAGCAGGGCACTAGGGTGAGCTTGGGTTGCCCGTTCTGCATGAGCAAGCCCTGAGGCTCATGGGCCTGGGGGTGCCCACTATTCTGCCTAAATCCTGCATGGCAGAGGGAAAAGCACAGTCTAGGCATTAGCCTGTGCTGTATGTGCTGGTTCTGCCGTTCATAAGTCCTAGGAAATGACTTCACCTCTTGGAGGCTCAGTTGCCTAGTCTCTACAATGGGAATAGCATCTTGTTTAGGCAGGGCTTCAGGGAGGATTAGGAATTATGTATGAAAAGCTCCTAGGACGGTTATTAAATTGTTCTGGCAGGTTATTAAAGCTCAAAAAACGGGCAACTAAAAAACTAGACCTGTTTTTCTTCATGTGACAGCCGTTATATTTGCTCCCTCTGCTTTACAAGTAATGTTGGCAAAAATAGCTTCGCCCTTAATTCCTAGTTAAGATCTACCACCAGTAAAACACAGCAACAGGTTGGTGCAGTCACTGAGCACGGGCCTCCTTTGCTGGGGTCTGGAATTCCTGTCCGGTCCTAACCCTGTACTTTTATTCTATGGCAAGTACCTACTTGACATTTCAGAAGGGACATTATCTTAGTGGTAGAAAGAATAGCAGTTCCGGCATTTGACAGCAAGAAACAAAACCTAAGACTGCTGCTCTCAGGTGAAGAAACCCAGGTGGTGGTCCAGGCTGTCTGCTCAAGAGTAGGAGTTAGTTTCCCTGACAGACATGGCAGTGATGAGGGAAGAGGTGAAATCAGAGCTGATGCGAGGGGAGAGCATGACCCCGGGTCAGGAGGGATGTGGTTAAGACCTGGAGTCATCTGCCAGCCCCGTCACTTGTGGGAACAGAAGAGGAATTTCCCCAGGTCATGCAGCCAACTCATAGCCAAAGCTGGCTGCACCACCCTGGCCAGGTTGTGTTTGTTTGAATTGGAGGAAAGCTAGGGATTGAGTAGGTTTCGTTTTATAGTTATGGTGATTTGTACCTCCCTCACGGGAAGGCTCAGTCAGTATGATGTTCAGATTTCATAAAGCATTTAGCATTTCTTAGAGAAAGGAGCAACACACAGGCAACAACATTTAAGAGACTCTGGTTCAAGAAGCTACAGAGCTTGTCAGAGAACAGCGCCTGGCCAGGCATGGCATTCATTTGCCTTCTGGGGAAGAGCCTGCCCAGCCTTTGGCATTTTATTGTGATCATGGAGATCATCAATCTTACAGCACGGAATGGAAACAAGATCAAAAGCAAGAAGGCTCGGTAAATTTTCCCCACAGGGAGCTAAGGGAAACTCTAACTCTCTCGCCCTACTTTCATCCATTTAAATCCATTCTCTTTCTCTCCAGTTTTTCCTGTCTTGGTTTGGAATTGGCATGCTGCTCCTAAGTCAAGGGGTCAGGAAGACACGTGCTTTTATGATGCAACAAGGGGCAGTCGCTTTGTCTGCTTTGGGAACCCTGGTGACATCAGAGACTAACGCTTTCATCTCGGGAACATGTGTAGAAGAAAACACTGAGTCAGACGAAAGCCTTAGTCATAGGGCTACTGAAATCTAAAGTGAACAGGACTCTTAGGTAACTGAGTCTGTTCCTGTAGGACTGCTCCCGCTCCTATCTGGCTAGGGTTTAAATGACTCAAGTCATTCTCCAGGGGGAACTCATCTATGTAGAACAGCTGCCACTAGCAGGGCATTTGCTGCTCTTCAGCCGAAATTTCTCATGACATCACTCAATTCTTCCTCCCTTTGAGGGGACAGTTTTCTCTTGTATTTCAAGTAGTCCAGGTGGCTGCTTGGAGATGCACTGGAGAATACCACCTCTGCTCTTTATTCAGAGGCCTGTAACCTGTCTGAGCATATCCTGGGAAGATGGACAGGCAAGGAGGCTCAGTTAAATAAAGTGCTCCCAGAATATGCAGCTTTGCATTACAATAGCACACAAGCCAAGATGTTCAGGAGTCAAGGCAGACTTCAACAAAGCTCTGTTTGGGTTTTAGCAGCTGTCTGCCTACGCAAGGCTCCAGAGTCACTGACTCATATTTATATCTCCACTTTGCTAAAGGCACAAGGAACAAACATGTGTGGATTTACCCCGGAGGCAAAGTCCATTCATATTTCTTCAAATGAAGCAGGAGAGGGCAGAAAAAAAACTGCTTATGGACAAAATCATCTGTGAACACAGCCACAGCAGTTTTTAACTTGCCTAAAGAAAATATGTGATTTCAAAACATGATTAGGGATTACTGTTCCCACAGTAAACATATTACAAACATGAACTGTAGGCTGTCGTTTAATAGGACTCCAAGCTGGGAAGCAAATCCCATCCACATCTTCCAAACAGCCACACCATGAGAGCAGCTGGACCAGTCTCCGGAAGTTTCTTCATGGTGGATGGTTTGCTCGGTCTCAGCACAGCTTCCCTCTCCAAGACCTCACATCACCAGTGCGCCCCTCAAGGGTCAGGATAAACTGTCCGAAAGGTCAAGTTTATTCTTGGTTCTCTAGAATGGTACTCCTTGGGCACTCGATGCTAAATGGAAATATGAATAACTCTGACATACACACACTTACACTTTTATTCCAAAGCAATTTAAAACTTATTTATGAGGACATAGACATGTTTCAATTTTATCTCCCGTCAATGAGCAGCAATAGCTCTTTTAAGTCTTGTGGAGAAAGGTCTCCTTCTCTGAAACAAATCTCCACCACCACCCTCACTGTGATATGTCAGCACCCTCACAGGGAGACAATTTCATTTTTTCTAAGTGTTGCTCTTCCTCTCAGCCTCCTGCCATTTTTCCAAAGCTCAAAAGAAAACACATAAATGGCTGAGATCACAGACAGGCATGAGATTCCCCTCTCATGCTAAGTGTTCTTAATTTGCACACCTTAAAAATGGCCTGGCCTAAGCTATGGAGCTGTGCAGCCCCCATATGCTAGCCACTGGCTGCCTGAAGCTCTAAATTAATTAAAAATTCAGTTCTTCAGCACACTAGCCATATCTCAAGAGATCAACAGTCATGTGTATAGTGGCTACCACATTGGGCTACACAGATACAGAGTATTTCCATCCTCACAGGAATTTCTAGTGGACACTGCTGCTGTAGAGGGCCATTTTGACTGTCAGTACAATCAAAACCCCTTGGAAATGATGTCAGTTTATTGCCTCTTGCTCATTATAAAAGCCACTTGCTTTTCACCACGTCTAATATAGAAATTAATAACCGCAAGCCAGTCAGGAAACAGCCTCTACATGACAGCAAATCCACGTTACTTGCATGTTCTCACCTGCCAGTCTGCTTGGGTGGCTCCTTCCATGAGTAACAAGGTCCCGTGAGCCAAGGGTAACTTCACTCTGTCCACATATGTGTAGTCCCCATTCTCTTCCTAGAAAACAGCATTCATTGCACTGAATTTTTTTGCTTGTGTGATCAAGATGCTGCAACAGAACATGACACTGGTCGAAGAAATGCCAGCCTCCACTCAGCCAGACTGGCTCTGTCACTTGGCGGCTGACTGGCCTTAGGCAGGTTACTTCACCTCTCTGTTCCTGAATTTACTCACTTGTAAAATGAGGATGACGAGAGTACCTGCCACACAGGGCTGCTGTGAGCCTCAACTTACATATGTGAGAATTACTTGCAGACTGGTACGTATTAGGTACAGCATAACAGCTATTAGTATTAGTATTATCAGCATTCAAAATGCAGAAAAGCACATTCTGGCCTATGAAGGAATTCAAAGTCATTTATACAATAATTCTTTACATCTGCCTTATTCTGTGCCCTGTGTTTTGACATAGTGTTAGGAGAATAGGCTTTCAAACAAGACATGGTGTGATGAGTTTTGACCCCCTTCTCATAATTTATGCTAATTCACTAATTGGTACCTATGTTAAAACTAGTCACAACTCTTCCGATAGCTATTTTGGTATTTTGGAGATATATTTTTGTTTCTTTCCAGAACAGTCAACAACAAGATTTTCTCAAAGAAGGGAGCTCTGCTGTGACCAGAACAGTGTTGCTAAACTGAGACTGGCTGTGTAAGCCTTTGAGAATGGATCGCAACTCTGGAGCACCTAGGATACAAATGCCTGTATTTACATTGCCCCTTTCTTCCAGAGCTCAAAGTCAATTCACGTCCAACACCATAATGAAGCCTCCCAGCGCGGGCTGCAATATGGCCAACAGGTGGTGTCACTCCTCCTCCACCGCTGTCACAGGGGCACATTAAACAACTTCCTTGCTCACAGCAACAAAGAGCACATCAAGAATTGAGACAGGGACAGACCCAAGTTTCCTGACTTCTTCACCTCCATTCCGGGCAGATTCGTCCATTCATCTGCTTCACTTCCAATGCAAGAGATTACATTTGGGTTACTACAGGATTAATTTCACTGCAGTGCTGTGTTTATGTTTATTATCGTAGGGGTACTTCTGAGAATGTAACTGTTTACAATGATTTCCCCCAGGAAAATCAAAATCAAAACAAAATGAACTTCCATAAACAGTCTAGGTTCCCGTCCCCAGCCCTTGGCAGTGACTTTGTCAAGCACTGTCATAACTTTATAAGCAGAAGATATACGCAATGTTTGAAATAACTTTTGGTCTCAGTGACTGATTTTGTGTCTGCCACCTTTTGCCTTCCAGTAATAAGTAAGCACCAAAACATTTACCTCTGACCCCTCAGCCAACCAGTGGGGAGGTGACCCTGTCCTCAGGTAGCCCAGCTCCATCTCAGAAAAGCAAAAGGTTGCTCTCTGAGAAAAGTATTCCAGACAGAGGAGATGTATGTTCTACTGAAGAAAAGATATCAGAAGGGAGTGCATCGTTCATGAAATCAGAGGGTCCAAGGCTCCTTGATTTTTAGGCTGTAAAGTCAGTTACCAGATCAAGGTTCAACACAGCTAGAAACAGAACTGTTGCTGCCCTCTATATACTCCAGAAGTACAACGGGGCCTTAATCTATAAACCAAGCACAGACACTAAGACAGGAGAGTGCAGTGGACAGGAAAGACACTTAACACAACAGGAAGAGAATCCTGAGATGAAGATCTCTTAGAACATTAAAACGTTATTGGGATAACACTGTACCTCAACTACACTTCAATTTAAAAAAAGAAAAAAATACACTACGGAGGAAAAGCATGTTCTAGGAAGAAGGAATTGTATATGCAACAGCCCAGAGGCCAAGAAACCAAGCCCCATCCTGTGTACACAGGTCTGTGAGACCAGGGAGCACGTGTAAGGAGTAATTTGGAGAAGTTAGAAAAGTTAAGAGCCAGCATTTTCTCATCCAGTGTTGCTCTGCCAAAGCCACTGTAATAAAATGCAAATTTGATCTCAGAATTCCTCTCCCTTGCTTAAAATACTTTAATGACATCCCAAAGGTTTCAGGATGAAGTTCAAATCCATTAGCTTGGCACCCAAGGCTCCTGATGACCTGCGTGCTCCTTCTCTTTAGTTTCAGCTCCTACATCTCTCTCACGGGCACCCTGTGCTCCAAATAAATGGAACTACTTACAGTTTTCCAAACATGAAAAAAAAAAAACACCATTATTGGGGAGGAGGGAGTGCTAAGGCCAGTGGAAGAGAAGAGGGGAGCACTGTAACTCTACCTGGAAACATGAAGCAGGAGTAGACCCAGCAAGTGAAAGAGAATTCCAAATGCAAGAGGGAAACATCAGCATGGACGGAAAGTGATGGTCAACAGAGCCACATTTCCCTCACTATTCCTAAGATCTGAGGTTTTCAAATGAGAGAAAGCCTCAGGTTGGTTTGAAACACATTACATCCAGTACAACCATTAGTTGTACCAAACAGCAAAAGAGGGTGAGCCTTCACTTGGCAGGGGGCTACTCTCATCAGTCCCTGAAGGAGACAGTGATACCAGCACACTTACAGCGAGAGGTGATGTCATTACTTTGCTGCTTGTTATTCGTTCCTTCCAACACCCCTGGCTTAGGAAGTACATTCCTAATTCACAGAAGGAGACAGAAGGGAGGGCAGGGGATTCTATCAAGGCAACACAGAGCTCACGAATGCTTCCTTCCCGAGACCAGAGCAGCAACAGACCGAAGAGCCACGCTTTAACTTAACCAAGATACACAGAGACTTTTTCCACTGAGGAAGCAGGTAAAAAGGCCAGAGGAGCTCACGTGGCTAAGCATAAGGGCTCAGTTGATAAATGGATAAGCGACAGTGGAAGCACAGTTCAGACTGTTTAGAGGAATGCACTCACGACCATTAAGCATGGTTAAGTTACCCAAACACTGCTCTGTAACCCTTTTGATTTACTCACGTCTTTCTTCAAAACAAAACAAAACACACCCATTAAAAAGCCATGGCTTAGGATAAAATTTTCCATTCCTGATCCCAGTTAAAAGAAACTTTTAGGGTCACAGTCAGTCTACAGGGTGGGTTTTGCTGTTGATATTCTTGGTTTTCCACACACTTGAAACCTCACAAGTAGATGGAAAAAGCAACAAAAAAAATTTTTTTTTATATCAATGTTAACATTCTCACTCCCTCCTCAACCAGAGCCAATCCATCTGAATGCTTAATTATAATTTCCAGTGAATGCTGGGGTTTTCCAAAGTTCCATAACTTTCACCAAGATCTCAGCCTATTCAGTTTCCTTTAGAAAAATGTTATTTAGGGACTTCCCTGGTGGTCCAGTGGTTAAGACTCCGCACTCCCAATGCAGGGGGCCAGGGTTCAATCCCTGGTCAGGGAACTAGATACGACATGCCGCAACTAGGAGCCCACACGCCGCAAATAAAAATCCCGCATGCCACAACTAAGATCCGGCACAGCCAAATAAATAAATATTTTTTTTTAAATGCTATTTAGGAAAAAAAAAAGCCTGGGTGTATATTGTTATATCATTACAAACCACCCAACAGATAAGAAATCTAAACATTTTTCTTTTCACTGGAAAGGAAACGTCACACTGTATGAGATCTATGTAGATTTTTCATGTAATTGCACCTTTCCTGTCCTAAAAAAGGTGTCTTAGAAATTATAGGGTTGGCCAAAAAGTCCCTTTGGTTTTTAAGTAAAAATAAAAGACACTTTTCATTTTCACCAAGAACTTTATTGAACAACGTATTCACCCTTTTGTTCCACTACCTTCTACCATTTTCCAGGCAACTTCATAATTCCATCTTCCCAAAACTTTTAATCTTTTTGGGCAAAGAACTGTTCCAGGTGCCTTTTACAGTCTTCCAGGGAATTGAAATTTTTTCCATTAAGAGAATTTTGTAAAGACCGAAATAAATGGAAATGCGAAGGTGCAATGTCTAGTGAATACAGCAGATGAACCAGAACTTCCCAGCCAAGCTGTAACAGTTTTCGCCTGGTCATCAAAGAAACATGTGGTCTTGCACTATCTTGATGGAAGATTATGCGTTCTCTGTTGACTAATTCTGGACACTTTTCGTCAAGTGCTGCTTTCAGTTGGTCTAACTGGGAGCAGTACTTGTTGGAATTAATCACTTGGTTTTCTGAGGAGCTCATAAGAGAGGACTCCCTTCCAATCCCACCATATACACAACATCACCTTTGGACCAGCCTTTGGTGTGGTTGGCAGGGGTTCATTTTGCTCGCCCCACGATCTCTTCTGTTCCACATTATTGTACAGTATCCACTTTTCACTGCCCATCACAATTTATTTTAAAAATGGAACATTTCCATATGTTTAAGTAGAGAATTGCACGCGGAAATACGGTCAAGGTTTTTTTCGCTTAACTTATGTGGAACCCAAACATCAAAGCGATGAACATAACCAAGCTGGTGCAAATGATTTTCAATGCTTGATTTGGATATTTTGAGTATGTCGGCTATCTCCCACATGGTATAATGTTGATTGTTCTCAATTAACATCTCGATTTGATCGCTATTAACTTCAACTGGTCTACCCGACTGTGGAGCATCGTCCAGCAAGAAATCTCCAGCATGAAACTTCGAAAACCACTTTTGACATGTTCGATCAGTCACAGCACCCTCTCCATATACTGCATGAATATTTTTTTGTGTTTCAGTTGTGTTTTTATCTTTCTTAAAATAATAAAGCATAATATGCTGAAAATGTTGCTTTCCCCCCATCATTAATATTAAAATGGCTACACAAAAATTCACCAATTTTGATTTTTTTTTAATGCACACTGACATGACAGCTGTCACAATACAATCTAACAAAATTGTTTCAAATGAAGTTAAAGACAACTAAGCGCTACTAGAGCCATCTTATGGAGAAAAACGAACGAACCTTTGGACCAAGCCTATACAAACATCAGTGCTTGAAAATCATCATTGGCATAGTTTTTTTTCCTACTATAAAAGTAACATAAGTTCCCTAGAGTAACTGACACACTTGTAATTACCTGT